ACTTTAAAAGGATTATAAAATTACTCCTAAGGGAAATAGTTACTACCCTAAATGATAACAGGCGTTTAAGCTTTTTAAACATTTTCATTTGACAAAACATGAAGAGGGAAAATAAACAATGGGAGTTCAGCTGTGTTTTCCAAAAGAAGTTTAAAGTTGTAATGCTTTTCCAATTTAGGTTGTGGTCAACCAATTAAAGGGACTATTGTACATTCAATACAAAATAAACTAGAATAAATTATCTACAGGATTAAGACAGAGAATAAAAATTAATTTCTAACATTGAAATTTCTATACTAATCTATAAACTACTAATGGTTTGGGGGGAAAAACCGTATTACTAAAGAATGAATAGTTTGAAAGTGTACCTATGGCAGAGATTTCAAAATGAGGTATTAAATTAGTACAACCAGTTTCAGAGACTTCTAATCAGTTCATCTGTCACCCTGGCTCTTCTCGGTACCTGCCCTATACGGAAACCTTGAGGTATGGGATAAAACCTCATCTCTGCCTGTGATGGTTAAGATTGTGTGTCAACTTGGCTGCGTCATGATTCTCAGTGTTCATATGTGATCACCACCATGATGCCATCTGCTTGTGAGTAGCCAATCAGTTGAAACGGAGTTTCCTTGGGCGTGTGGCCTGAATCCGAATATAAGTGGATGTTCTGGCTTTTGCCTGCTCTGGATCCTGCAGCTGCCTCCTGTTCATCTGACCTCTGGTTCTTGGGACTTGAGCTAGCAGCTTATCGGCAGATCTTGGGATTCATGGTTCTTTACAGCCTATGAGCAGGAGCCCTGCTCTCCAGCCGATCTTGGGTTCACCAGCCCCCACAGCTTCATGAATTCAGGAGAAGGCTCTAACCTGATCCACGGACTTGGGACATTCCAGCCTCTACAATCGCGTGAGCCGTTTCCTTAATATAAATCTGTCTCTATATATATTTACACGCTTTACTGGTTTTGCTTCTCTAGAGAACCCAGCCTAAGACACTGTCCTAAGCTTTTTTAAATCTCAAAATGAGACTCATTTCTTAATTATCACCATTAATACTTTAAAATTTTTATAAATAAAAATTTAACAAAACAAGTAGACAGAGAAAGGGAACAAAACATGTGAATTCAGTGTATGCAAAGTGTTATGTTTACAGTTCCTATTACTGTTGACTCCTATGGGCTAGACCCTGAGCTAAAAAGTACATATGTATTTCCAGTTAGTCCTCCGAATGACACTCTGAGGCATTATGATTGATCTCCGTTTTATAGTTCAACTGAGGCTTAGAGAAGTTAAGCAACTTACCCATGCTTTTAAGTGGCAGAACTAATATTCAAACCAGCAACTGTCTCACTTGAGCAGAAAGACTCCCACTATTCCTGACTGCTTAGGACCATACAGGAGTGATAATACTATATATATATGAAGAAAGGAAACCAAAGTCCAAAACCTCAGAAGCTCTAACTAAGATAAGGCAAATAGCATAAATAAGACAACAGGATCGGACTGCAGAGACAATGAAATAGCAGCTAGTGCACTTACTCTAAGTAACCAAGAAGATGGAAATGGTGGTTACGGAGTTTCTAATGTACCTGGTAATTCACTTCTAAAAGTAAAATAACTGGTTTGATGCTAAGTATTCAGTAAAAGTAATTAAGACACATTTTCTGTATCTCTGTTTGCCTCTGGAGTCCCTGGGTGACACTAACGCTTAAGACTGGACTAATAACTGAAAGGTTGGCAGTTCAAACTCACCCGGAGGCACCCTGGAAATAAGGCCTGTTGATCTGCTTCCAAAAGGTCACAGCCTTGAAAACCCTATGGAGCAGTTCTACTCTGCACATTTGCAGTGGTCATGAGTCAACATCAACTAGAAGGAAACAAACAACAACATTTTCCTCTAAAGCAGCTTTTCTAGTATGACATCTGGGGAGATTAAACTTTTGCTGAAGAAGCTGAAAAATACCAGGATTGTGTTTATTATTTGTTAGAGAGGACAGTCTCAAAAGCAGTCATATTTCCAGATTTAGTAAGTGAAACACAAAGAACATCCTTTTCACAATAGTTAGGATAAGATTTAGGTGTATTGTACTAGACATTTTATTAATTTTTTTTCCAATCTGGTCTCTGAATTTCTTTTGGGACTTGTAAGAATTATCAAACTGGATATCGCCATAGGTCTGCTGAAGTCAATCTCTATGTAATTAAGGAGAAAATAGGAAAGTCTTTGCAGCCCTAAATATTTTGTATGAAAGCAATGTAGAATGAAGGATCTTGGATGCCTTTTGTAAAAGTTACAGATAACCTATAATGCCCCTCCCCCTCAATTGAGAGCCACTGCTCTGTAGAATCAGATTCAGGATTATGACCATTTGATTAAAAAAATCCTGCTTGCCAGAGGTGGTTTGAAAATGCCAAGTCAGAGTTAAAAGCATTTATTCACTCAACTTTCAGGTCATAATAACTTACTTAACCCCTATTGTGTGTAGAGCACTGTATTACACCCAGAGTATATATAAAGTAATGGATGAAACAAAATCCCTATCCTCATTCAGGGTTTCTATCAATGTTCACTGAGTATTGAAAAGTGGCTCAAACAAGGCAGACTCCAGATGGTACAGATCAGATAACCTAAACTTGTTCTCGATCTGTGCTGTCAACTCCAACTCACAGCGATCTTATATGACAGAGTAGAACTGCTCCATAGGGTTTCCTAGGCTATAATCTTTACATACTGTTCAATGAGCCTTGGTGGCAAAGTGGTTAAGCGCTAGGCTGCTAACTGAAAGGTCAGCAGTTCAAATTCACCCAGTGGCTCTGTAGGAGAAAGATGTGGCAGTCTGCTTCTGTACACATTAATGCCTTGGAAACCCTATGATAGAGCAGTTCTACTCTGTCCTATAGGGACAACGGGTTTAATCTTTACAGAAGCAGATTGCCCGGTCTTTTATCCCACAGAGCAGCTGGTGGCTTCAAACTACTGAACTTTCGGTTAGCAGTTGAGTGCTTAACCACAGTGCCACCAGGGCTTCTTAACTTCATCTTACTCTGCCCAAATTAGAAGTTCTATAATCAGTATTTGAAGGCAAGAACAAAATATGCAAAGAAAAAAACAACCAACATTATGTAGAGCTTTACATTTACATTTCCCTCTTAGGAAACCCAAAAAAACCAAACCCATTGCCGTCAAGTCCATTTGGACTCGTAGCAACCCTGTATGACAGAGTAGAACTGCCCCATAGGGTTTCCAAGAACAGCTGGCGTATTCGAACTGCTGACCTTTTCGTTAGCAGCCAAGCTCTTAACCACTGCACTACCAGGGCTCCATAGGAAAAGCAGGAGGCAAAAGGAACACATAGCAGGAAGACCTAATCTTTAAGTATTTAATGAGAATGTAAGGATAAATAGGTGTTCCTCAAGCAAGTGAGTGGGATAGGGAGGGAATGCAAGAGTGTTCCAGGTAGACAATGAAGGTCAGCATGGCTGTGCAGAAAGTGAAACCGTGCTATCCTAACCAACAAGGCAAGGGGGAGTAGCAGGAACCAATCTGAGTTTGGCTTTATTAACTATGTTTAAGGGGTTGGATTTATCCTAAGGACAAAGGCACAGCTATCTGGATTTTCATTTTTGTAAAAATCCCTCTGGCTGTGCTGTGAAGAGGCAGGAAGGGTCTGGAAGTGGGGAGACCTGTGAGGAGACTGCTGTAGCTAGGTGAGAGACTTAACAAAACAAAACAAAAAAAACCGTTGCCTGCGAGTCACAGAGATCCTATAGGACAGAAAAGAATTGCCCCATAGTTTCCAAGGAGCAGCTGGTGGATTCGAACTGTTAACTTTTGGTTAGCAGCCGAGTTCTTAACCACTGCTACACCAGAGCGACAGAAATCAGGGATGGAGAGAAGTGCCAGACATTTCGGAGGTCCAGACGGCTTGGTGGCTGACTGGGTAATGGGTGAGGTAGAGGAGAGGTAGTTGAGAAGAATGTGACAATTACTGAGAATGGGAAAACAGGCAGCAATTTGGGAATAAGGCTTGAGAGTAGATCTATCTAAAAACAGGGTGACTGGTGTGAGAAAGGCATTCTTACTCAACAGGGCCTGAGGAGAATGCAAAGCCGACCTTAAGCGACTTTGGCCATGAATACACAGTCACAGGGACCAGCAGAAAGGATTCTAGGAAATCTGCAGATCTGAAGTTTAATGCTTGAAATTAGCTCTCTGGCAAAGCTAAGTCACAGAGTCAACCAGACACAAAGGGCAGAAGAGACCAATCCCACGTCTAATAGAGAACTAGTCCCAAGGCCAGCGCCTCCCGGTCTTCACCTAGGCCGCCGCGTGCCCTCCGGGCCCCATTTCCCCGAGCCAATCCTCCGCTCTTTCCCTCGCCGATCCACGCCTGCGCCTGCAGTCTCCGCCGCGGTCAACTTCCCCAGCACCCCGCCCCCCGGCCTCGGCGCCCCCGGCCTGGTGTCAGCTCCACGGCCTCCGCGTCCCCGGCCCGGCCTCCTGCTCCCTGGCCTCGGCGTCATCGGCCACGCCTCCCGCTCCCCGGCCTCGGAACCCCCGGCCCGGCCTCCCCTCCCCGGCCTCGGGGCCCCCCGGCCCGTCCTCCCGCTCCCCGGCCTCGGCGTCCCCGGCCCGGCCTCCCGCTCCCCGGCCTCGGCGTCCCCGGCCCGGCCTCCCGCTCCCCGGCCTTGGCGTCCCCGGCCTCGAAGCTCCCGGGCCGGCCTCCCGCTCCACGGCCGGGGCCCCCGGGCCCGCCTCCCGCTCCCCGGCCTCGGAGCCCCGGGACCCGCCTCCCACTTCTCGGGCTTCAGTGCTCGCTCTGCAGCCATCGTTGTGGCAAGACAATAGATCCACCGTCCGGACCTTGCCCATCTTCTCCTTCTCCCCGAAGCAGCTGCAGACCCAGCAGGTCCCCGGAGCAGGCGCTGGGCTTGGGAGAGAAGAGGGGAGAGGGCCCAGGGCTGACCGCCGCGGGGCAGGAAGGCGACAGGGTAACACTCACCGCTGAGCTTCCTAAACGCTGACAACACCCTCCTCTCTGCCTGGAGTGCAGCTTCCGCGGCCCTCAGGCAGTACAGGAGAGCTGGAGAGCAAAGCCCGCCCACCGCCAGTACCGCCCCAACACACCGCCACCCCATAGGCCGGGCGCACTCCTCATCCCGCCCCGCGATGGTCCCGCTCGCTATGGCCCCGCCCCGCGCCGGGATTGAAGACCAGTTTCCGCCGCATTGGGCGGCTTCAACGATTCTCTGAGGCCCTGTGGGCTTCCGCCCACAGCGCGAGTTTGTGGTGATAAACTGGAGACGTGGAGGCCGCGCCGGGCCCAAGTTGCACCGAGAAAGGAGACACCTCCTGGTCTGATACCCAGTCTGACATCCGGGATGAAAAGGAGCAGGCCAGCACCGGGATTGGTAATTTCTGCTTCCCCTCTGATAATCTTTCCTTTGTTTTCTTTGTTACCCTCCAATTAGCTTTTCCCAAATCTAAAGCCTTAAGTGTCTACTGGTTCCTGCCTATTTTGGGTCACGAGCTCATTTCAGACCTGGATGCAAACTATGAATCGTTTTCCCAGAAGAATATACCAACACACTTGAGCAGGGAGTTCTGCATAAAATTTCAAGCGGTTCATGACTTTCTGACGCCAAGTCAGGGACCCCATATTAGGAACTAGCCTGCCCCAGCACTTATACCTATTCGAGTATAAATCAGGGACTATATTCTGTACATGGAGCCCTTCTGGTGCAGTGGTTAAGAGCTCGGCTGCTAACTGAAAGGTTGGCAGTTCAAATCCCCCAGCCGCTCCTTGGAAACCCTATGGGACAGTTCTACTCTGCCCTGTAGGGTCGCTATGAGTCAGAATCGACTCGATGGCAACGGGTTATATTCTGTACATAAATATGCATAATTATATATATGGCTACCATTTTTTAGTGCGTATCATTTTTTAGTGCTTATACCACACTCTTACATTTTCCTTAGATATTTTCTTATTGTATTCTTTCAACAACCCCTCGGCGTAGGAATTCCAGTCTCCGCTGGGCCCTTAAGGAGGTTAAGTAGTTTGTTCTGGCTAGTAGAACAGTCAAAAGAGTTAAACTCAGATACTAGGAATAAAATTTAGGCCTTCCACACACATGGGTCACCATGAGTCAGAATCAACTCCACTGCAACTGTTTTTTTCTTTTTTTTCCTATCTCTCTCAAACTGAGAGAGAACCAGTGTTTTGCAGTCCTTTTTTTTTTTTTCCTACTGCATCAAAACTGAGGGATAGGACCCACTCCCAGCAGGAGAGAGATTCTCAAGGTGGTGACTAGTATAGTTGGACAAATCCTCCTAACCCAAGCCCAAACCCCTTCCTGTGCTAAACTTTCTGAACAAGATACTTCAAATACAGCATCAGCATCAGATTTCTGTTTTCATGTAAGTTGTACTAATTTACTTAGTGTAGCAAAACCTTAATTATAGCAAAATGGTTGAGAGGAGGCAATGTCTTATGGCTAAGTCCAGTGATTTCTCTTTATAGAGGTAACATAGTGGTGCCACAACTTGATCTGGGCCTTAAAATGCCTAAAGGAGAAGACTAGGAAAGGCACCGTGGAGCATTCCAGGTAAAAGAAACATGTGCAAGAGGACTCTTGGAGTGGGCCAGGGAGCAGGGAGTGGTCATTATTTCTTTGGTGAGAAGGCTGAGCAATGAGAAATAAAATGGGTAAGTTATTTAGGACGAGACTATGGAGATGAGTTTAGACTCCATGAGGTAAACTGTAATGTGAATTTAGTGATGCTAAGAATCATAAATGAGTGTTCGTATGAAAAGTTATGAAAATGGTTTTAAGGATAATATTAGTCTGGCAGAGTTATGCTGGTTGGATGGGAGATCCTATAGGAAGATAGAAAGGAGGAACTGGAAAAAAAAAATGTAACTATGTTTTCTTCTCTCTTACGGTAGATTTTGGAGAAATCTAAATGTGAGTTATTTCGTTCAAGTATAGACAGGCAAGGTAACTAAGGGGGGAGGGGAAGAAAATGCAGTCAATTTTTATATTTAATTTCTTAAGGTGTTATTCATCCAGAAATTAAACTTGTACAATATCACTATAAATGAATTTAAATAATATACTTTACTCTGAAAACTTTACTACTGGGAGAAATAGTATAAATCCATTCTAACAGGCCAGACAGGCATTATATTAACAGAACATTTCTAAATGCTAGAACTAAAACATAGATGCCAGAAAACACAAAATGCTGATGAATTAAAGCCTCAGGGCAGAGGGAGAAGTCAGAGTTCAGGAAGAGGAATTGACTAGTGACTAAACAAGCAAAAGAAAGAAGCTGGGAGAGCTGGGCTAGGGAGAGCCATGGTAAAGCTGACTTCTTATCTCCCTAGAAGCCAGTGAGCATGAAGAATGCTCCCCATAGTCCAGCTGCTCTTGGGAATTGGTCATCAGGTATCTTAGCTGCGCAAGTCTAAACATAAACTCAGAGAAGCCAGGGCTACTTGGGTTGAATGTCTGGGTCTTCTCTTCGCTCCCATTCCCACTGTTTCTTCTTTCACTCAGTTACTCTAAAAGGATTAAAGATTAAGCCAAGCATACTTTGCTGGCCAACCTTTTTTCTATCCTGGTCACAGTTAGTTGTAACATCAGTATCAAATATGGTTCAATAAATGTTATGGTGCTATGTTAAGAAATACATAAAAGAGCTTTTAAGCCTACTATTAAAATATAATGAATACTGTTTTTTTTTGTACTTGGAGACTGTTACCCAAAATAGTTAATGGTCCGTATGTGAAAAGAGGCTTTTAAAAGAAACAGCACTCTTTATACCCGCAGTAGGACTTCTTTCAAAATTGGAGTCAGTCCTCTCAAACCCTGCCACTGCTTTATCAACTAAGTTCATGTAATATTCTAAATCCTTTGTTGTCATTTCAGCATTGTTCACAGCATCTTTATCAGGAGTAGATTGCATCTCAATAAACCACTTTCTTTGCGCAGCATAAGAAGCAACTCCTCATCTGTTAAAGTTTTATCATGAGAGTACAGCAATTCAGTCACGTCTTCAGGCTCCACTTCTAATTCTAGTTCTCTTGCTATTTCCACCATATCTGCAGTTATTTCCTCTAGTGAAGTCTTGAACCCCTCAAAGTCATCCATGAAGTATGGAATCAACTTCTTCCAAACTCCTGTTAATATTGATATTTTGACCTCCTCCCATGAATCACAAATGTTCTTGATGGCATCTAGAATGGTGAATCCTTTCTAGAAGGTTTTCAGTTTACTTTGCCCAGATCCATCAAAGGAATCATTATCTATGGCAGCTATAGCCTTATGAAATGTATAATAATAAGACTTGAAAGTCAAAATTACTCCTTGTTTCATGGGCTGCAGAAAGGATGTTGTGTTAGCAGGTGTGAAAACAACATTAATCTCCTTGTACATCTCCATCAGAGCTCTTGGGTGACCAGGTGCATTGTAAATGAGCAGTAATATTTTGAAAGGAATATTTTTTTCTGAGCAGTAGGTCTCAATAGTGGGCTTAAAATATTCAGTAAATCATGTTGCAAACAGATGTACTGTTACTCAGGCTTTGTTGTTCCATTTGTAGAGCACAGGCAGCATAATTTAGCATAATTCTTAAGGGCCCTAGGATTTTCAGAATGATAAATGAACATTGGCTTCAACTTAAAGTCTCTAGCTGCATTAGCCCCTAACAAGAGAGTCAGCCTGTCCTTTGAAGCTTTGAAGCCAGGCATTGACTTCTCTCTTAGCTATGAAAATCCTAGATGGCATCTTCTTCCAATATAAGGCCGTTTTCATCTACATTGAAAATCTGTTGTTTAGCGTAGCTACCTTCATCAGTTATCTTAGCCAGAGCTTCTGAGATAACTTGCTGCAGCTTCTACATCAGCAGTTGCTGCTTCACCTTGCACTTTTATGTTATGGAGATGGCTTCTTTCCTTAAACTTCATGAACCAACCTCTACCAGCTTCAGACTTTTCCTCTGCAGCTTCCTCACCTCTCTCAGCCTTTATAGAATTGAACAGAGTTAGGGCCTTGCTCTGGATTAGGCTTTGGATTACGGGAATGTTGTGGCTGGTTTGATCTATCCAGACCACTAAAACTTTCTCCATATTGGCAATAAGGCTGTTTCTCTTTCTTATCGTTCACTGGAGTAACACTTTTAATTTCCTTCAAGAACTTTTTCTTTGCATTCACAACTTGGCCGACTATTTGGCACAAGAGGCCTAGCTTTCGGCCTAGCTCAGCTTTTGACATGCCTTCCTCACTAAGCTTAATCATTTTTAGCTTTTGAGTTAAAGTGAGAGACGTGTGACTCTTCCTTTCACTTGAACACTTAGAGGCCATTGTAGGGTTATTAATTGACCTAAATTCAATATTGTTCTGTCAGGGAATAGGGAGGCCCGAGGAGAGGCAGAAAGACGGGGAATGGCCGGTTGGTGGAGCAGTCAGAATACACACGTTTATCATTAAGTTCACCATCTTATATGGGCGCAGTTTGTGGTGCCCCAAAACAGTTATAATAGTAACATCAAAGATCACTGATCACAGATCATCATAACAGATATAATAATAATGAAAAAGTTTGAAATATTGTGAGAATTACCAAAACATGACAGAGACATGAAGTGAGCACATGCTGTTGGAAAAATGGTACGATAGCTTGATCAACATAGGGTTGCCACAAACCTTCAATTAGTAAAAAATGCGGTGTCTGGGAAGTGCAGTAATAGTAAAACGAGGTATGCCTGTACTCAACTCTATGTAGCAATAAGGAGCCAAATGATTTTATGTTGAAAAATAAGTTGTTTTTAATTGCCCCATTGCCTCAATGCTATGAAATTTTTCCCCCCAGGTGTATCTATTTTGAAATTTATGTCAATAAATTTAGAATTATATTTATATTTCTTTTATAATTTATAATTTTCATGTGGATTAGACATGACTTTGAGAGGATAATCTTTATTAGGTCTGTTATGTTTGGAATCAGGCTTGAAAATTATGGATAATATGCCCTTTTTTTCTAACAATGTCATGATATTCTTACCCTCTCAATCTTTTAGGATGATTCTATTTACCTTCCAGGAAATATATCATTTACCAGTGAGTTTGGTGTTCCTCAAACTTTTCAGCTAAAATTCAAGACAATATCTATCACCTTAATAAGCACAAGTACTAGAAAATCATTGGTAGAGGTACTTGAAAATCATTGGTAGAGGTAAATAGGAAATTGCCCTCAAATGCTTTAATATATATTGTTATTTCACTTTTACAAAATACTAACGTATCTGTTTCCACACAGATAAATTATGACGTTGTTATTGTTAGTTGCCTTGGAGTCAATTCCAACTCATGGTGACCCATGTGCGTAAAGTAGAACTGCTCATAGG